TATCGCAAGCTGAAATGAATCGCATGCGAAATATTCAGATTACAATGACAGTTTTAAATAGCGAACTATTCTCAGGTTTTTAGATTCGCATCGTGTGTCCGTGGAAGCGAAAATCGAGCCGGCCAATGTTATAATGAAGCGAATCATTGATCAGTATGCTCATCACGTGACCACATGACTGTTGGAGCCATGGTTGGAGCCGTGTGGCGACAGTAGATCGCGTGTATAGTGTGTCCGCTGCGGTCGTGCGAATATATTCGCATGGTGTGTCCGCTGAATTTATCGCATGCGGGTGCGAATATTTTCGCCACGAATTTCGCTGCGGATATGATCGCAGCGAAATTCGCATGCATGGTGTGTCCCCCGCTTTATGTGAAGCGCATTGTGTAACATGGCAAAAAAGATCCATGTTCAGTGTCAGTATACTACTTATAACTTGTGCTTGTCGCTCGTCGCGTGTTGGGAATCTCCACCGACCACAGAGATATCAGTGCATGCACTAATAACCGACTACAGTGATGTACCTAATGCTTAACTCCATTGGTATTGTGCTATCCTCTAGACATCGAAGATGTTACAACCGCTTTACTACAAGCGAATGCGGTTGCGTTGTTTAATTTATACACATGATACTACACATCACGTAATTTATAAATCGTTGTATTTCATTGTCAGTCACGGAGTGACAGTAAACAGATGTAGGGGTATATTCTACTAATAACATTTTTATGTGTTTTAGCCGTGATGTGTGATTGTGGTGAGTCTAATTACAAACAAATACTATACACATTGATTCGGTAAATCATAGTTTAATTCATATACATGAATATGATACATCACATTATTTACATATCGGTGCATTTTATTATTAGTACATTGGCACATTAGGATCGCTGTGCAAGCGATATTACCACAAGATAAAATTAATAAAATGCAAACTATTTATATTACGATGACCGTTTTGAATAGTGAACTATTCCCGAGTCTATCAGAGGACATGTTCATTTCCTGGACACAAGAGGTGACATCATACGTCTCATCGCTACCCAGCGAACCAAGCGACACGACGTCGCTGTCGGAATCGTAGGAACTACTCAGCTCGCTGTCGCTAGACCCGGTAAATTTGGTATCACTATCGCTCAAGCTGTCGCTACTGGACTGCGATGAAGATCTCATCAATCTAGCTGCGTTATCGCTGGACGGCATAGCTGCGTGGCCACTCTTTCTAGCTTGCTGTGTCCGTTGTTACGCTCAAGCTCGTGTAGAGGAATGTACGTGTATGTGCACCGCCGAATTGCCATCATAGGTAATCATCTTCAACTAAGTCAGAAATCACTAATCGTAATCGCTAACTGTGTCTTGCAGTATGTACTCTGCCCTGGTGACCGTCCTCTTGCTGCCGAACTCCTCTTCGTGTCTCAAGAACAGCGTAGATAGAGTAGGAAAATGCTCGCGTCGTGGTCGGCGATGCAGCAGTATACTGAACGTCCCGGAAGTTGCCTACGTAAGACGAATGGCAGCAAAGAAGAACAGTGTCCCTTGGCAAGGGAATATTGGAAAGCACTGGTCAATCGCCTCTGGTTGTGAAACTTGTTTAACACCGCTACTTCTTTCGTCTAGATACATGAACTGGCGGGCTGCAGTTATTTATTCTTACAGACTGATATGCAACAACGAGCCCTTTCTCCTCGAAGTGTTGAGTGCCAGTGATTCGGCTGTTGAATCGGTTGACGCAAGTAGAAGGAGACCTGCCACGGAGAACAATCACCCGGCAGAAAGGTTTCCCCTCCAGTCTCATGTAATTTCTTCGATTGTACTTAACAGGACTTGGTTGCCGGTGAAGGAATCAATTACTCTATCAGAATTACCGATTAAACGATTTCGGTATAAGCTCTAGACTAATAACGAAGATAACCGGTGTGTACTCTAATGCTCTCCTGGATGCAGTGTACCTTTACTCGAATGTCTTCCTGCATTTATACTACTCGGCGTCTGTTATGTGGCCTTCCTGATCGCCCGCGGATATTGGTTGTGTAGCTGGTGACGTCACATGCAGACGACATGTTTGCGCGGCCAGTCGGCCCATCAGTTCTGCACCAACGATTTTCACAGACTGCTAATGATGTTTTTATTTCCTACCTCTGTTGCCGACAACTTTTATTGCTTGCTAGGCAACGTCAGGAAATTGTTCATAACGTTCTTGAACCTTGTTATTCGCGACATTTTCTGATGCGAAAATATTTTGTTGCTTGCTAAAGGTCTAACACCTAAAAAGAAAATAAGCTAATCTAATGATAACGTTCTTGACTCCTAATGAATAGTGTTGTGTTATTTTATTTATCGATTTCATCGGTGTAAATATATCGATTGTAGCATTTATTCACACGTAAATAGAAAACAACTAGTCATTTGACTTCGGTTGATAGATAGGCCTAAGTAAGAAACGTATAATAAAAGAACCTTTGTTGCCTTCAAATATTTACCGGGTCTATAGATAAATATCTATGGTGCGTTTACTTTTTAACATTCAAAATTTTATTATTTAACTAATACAATAATATAATTAAATTGTCATATATATAAACATGCCTCCTGTTGATATTTTACCCCACGAATCTTAGTTCATTCATTATTGTTGTTATATATTTAAGATAATCAATACAATATTGTTTTTAATACAATCGCGACCTTGTTTAAGATTACTTTTATTAATTTGATTATAGAGTACGCATGTACACATTTTCCTAAAAGTTATTGAACTATATACTGGCAGATGACATTTTTAACAGTGTTAGTAACTAATCCTACTAAATATATGGTCAACGTATTTTATTAAAATAATTACCATTTATATTAATTTTATGATTTCTTTTTATCGTTAGAAAGACTATCGAGCTCCGACAGTCTGTCTAGTTTAAGCAAACCCTTCCGAACATGACGAGACCGATATAACACCCACGAAAAAACAAAATATTCTTTCATTGAACTGTCTGACCCCCTAATGTGAGCCTTTTATTTCCTTACTCACACAGGTGCGCAAACAACAATATAGTTGAAGGCAAACAAACATCCGTCGTATTTGAATGAGACTTTGTTGTTTAGCGGAACATTTAGCTATAGGCGACGTGATGGTGTCATCACCCGACCGAGTAATAATGGCACTGTTTTGCTCGTTATCTTGGGCGGTACAAGGCTGGGTCTCGGCTTAATGACGCGGAAAGTGAAAGTAGCAAAAACACCGCAACTATGTCGCGGGTAGTTACAATACACGCTGTTTACTAATAAGGTGGAAGGAAGTCTGGCGTAAGGACGCATGTGTAGGCGACTTGTTTGTCAAGCTACTTATGCGGAAAATGTCACAATAAAGGGTTTACATTCAATACCTTTAAGAACAGTGAGGTCGTTATGATGCGATGCCTGATGCATCTACCTACGGACAGCGAAATGAAATTTCAACGATTAAATACACGCGCAACGGTGGTGACGAAAACGGCGGAGTTAGAATAACGGTACGTTGGTATATATCAACCATGCCCGTGACGTATGGACGCATAATCTGTATTTTTACTGCGCCGGTGCCGTTATTCTACACATTACACATACACTTGCCTGGGGGATAATATAATGATAGAACTATAGTGACAAAAGCTATATTGGCACCCTTCCCCATCGAGTAGAAATCTAGATACGCTGAAAATGCAAGTGAAATGGCAGCGAGGGGAGAGATGCGAGTGCAAAGAGAGATGGCAAAATGCACGATGCAAGTGCTATGGCAAGGGCAAGATGCAAGTGCTAGGGCAAGGGCAAGATGCAAGTGCTAGGGCAAGGGCAAGATGCATAGGCAATGTAAATATCCTGATGAACACTTATTTAATCGTATCTTGATTTACGTACGTCATCTGAATAAATATCACATAACGTGTAATGTACGATTTTCATATTTGGTTCCTAGGATGTTATGGGGTTAAGAAGGATTTAGAATTTTGCCAATAGCATCGAAAATGATTATTAGAATGAATTGCTACAACAAAATTACGGCACACTTCATTAGGCGTCTCTACTAATAAAGTTTTGATTAGACATTCGTCGTGTAATACGACCTTTAATTTATACGGGTACGATATAGGACTGGTGTAAACCGCCTGAATTCCCAATGTGTTACATGACCACTGAGGTTCCTATTTAGTGACAATATTCTACTGACCCCCCTCTCCGTCGCATGCTGGGAATCTCTAACGACCACAGTGACATCTGTCTATAAAGATGTGATTCATGCTTAACTTCCTTGGTATTGCCCTATCTGCTAGACATCAAAGATCGACGTGCAAGTGGCTTTACTACAACATAAGGCGGTTTGCTTATTTGCTTAGGTAAATGAGCCTTTGATACATGTTAACAATAAAAAGTGGATGAGTGCGTGGCGTGCCTCACGACGTGACAGTAAACTGATATAGAGGTGCATTCTGTTAATATTTTCTTTCTGTGTTTTATCCGTGATGTGGGATTGTAGTGCTGAGTCGTTTTACAAACAAAACTAAACACACTGATTAAGTAATCAGAGTTTAATTCATATACATGGTATTATACATAAAATTATTTACATATCGGTGTATTTCATCATATACAATTTGACCTCAATAAATCGAGCAAGTCAACCGTCGACAAATTAAGCTTCTGGACTATCACGGTATGAATACCTACAACACGACATGATGTCTACTATAAATAATAACAATGATATCAAGTCTCGCACATAAGTATCGTTAACTGTGCTAGCGATATTATCGCAAGCTGAAATGAATCGCATGCGAAATATTCAGATTACAATGACAGTTTTAAATAGCGAACTATTGCCAGGTCTATCAGATGACATGTTCATTTGCTGGACACAAGCGGTGACATCGTACGTCTCATCGCTACCCAGCGAACCAAGCGACACGACGTCGCTGTCGGAATCGTCGGAACTACTCAGCTCGCTGTCGCTAGACCCGGTAGATTCGGTATCACTATCGCTCAAGCTGTCGCTACTGGACTGCGATGAAGATCTCATCAATCTGGCTGCGTTATCGCTGGACGGTAGCTGCGCGGCCACTCTTTCTAGCTTCCTGTGTCCGTTGTTACGCTCAAGCAGGTGTAGAGGAATGTACGTGTATGTGCAGCCGCCATGCCCATCAGAGGTAATATCTTCACAGTCGAAATCCTCGTCGTAATCGCTCTGTGTCTTCAGTATTGTTACCTCTGCCCTGGTGATCGTCTGCTTGCAGCCGAACCTCTTCGGTGTCTTCAACACAGCGTAAATAGAGTAGGAAATGCTCGCGTCGTGGTCGGCTGCAGAGTAACTGAAGCTTCCCGGAAGGTTCCTCGGTAGACGATGGCAGAAGAAGAACGTGTGCTTGCCGGGAGTTTGGAAAGCCTCCATCGCCTCTGGTTGTGACTTGTTAAACACCGCTACCTTTTCGTCTAGATACATGAACTGGCGCTGCATTCTCTTATCTTACAGCATGAGTACAACAACGAGCCCATTCTCCACGCGAAAGTTGATAAGCCATGATCGCAGTGATCGTTGACGCAGATGCAGAGACCGCTGCAACGGAGAACACACGCCGGCAGAAAGGTTTCCCTCGAGTGCGCACCTGGAATCCTTCCGATGTACTCAGACGTGTTTTGTGAGAACAATCCATAGCAGAATGGCGATAAACGACGGTATAACCCTAGACGTCTCACAATGAACCGCGTGTGTACCATAGCTCTCACTGATGCAGTGTACTTACTCAATGTTCCTGCATTTATACAACACGCGTCCTTTATTTGGCTTCCGATCGTCCCGCGGGATTGTGTTGTCCTGTGCGACTCACATGTGTGTCAACGACATGTGCCGCGTCAGTCGCCACCAGTCTGCACCACGATTTTCACAGATCGTGCAAGATGTTTTATTTCCTACCCTCTGTTCCGACAACTTATTGCTTGCTAACAACGTCAGAAATGGTTAGCGAACGTTCTTGAGCCTTGTATTCCGCTACGACATTTTTCGAGCAAATATTTGTTGCTTCTAAAAGGTCCTAACACCTAAAAAGAAAATAAGCTAATCTAATGATAACTGTCTTGAACTCCTATAAAGACGTTTTATTTATTATCGATTCATCGGTGTAAAATATATCGATGTAGGCATTTTCAACACTAAATAAAAACAACCTATCATTACCTTCGGCGATAGATAGCCTAAGTAAGAAACCATAATAATAAGAACCCTTGTTGCTCAACTATACCGGTCTATAAGATAAATATCTATGGTGCGTTTACGTTTTAACATTCAAAAATTTATTATTCCAACTAAACAATAATATAATTAAATTGTGATATATATAAACATGCTCCCTGTTTGATATTTACCCACGCAAATTTATTAATTCAGATATTGTTGTTATATATTTAAGATAAACAATAAAATACTTTTTTAATCCACAATCGCGAACCTGTTAAGATACTTGATAAATTTGATATAAGTTACGCATGTACGACATTCCCTAAAAGTTATTGAAACTATATACTGGCAGAAACATTTTTAAAAGTTAGTAACTAACCTATCAACGTCTTAATTAAAATAATTACCATTTATATTAATAATTATTATTTTACGAGAAAAGGACCATTCGAAGCCCCGACCAGCTGTCTATTTAAGCAAACCTTCCGAACATGACGCGACCCGATATTAACAGCCACACAAAAACCAACAATATTCCTTTCATGAACGTCTGACTCCCTAATTAGCCTTATTTCCTTACTCACACGGTGCTCAAATAACAATTAATTAAGGCAACAAACCCGTCGATTAAAGCAACCTTTGTGTAGTGAAATCTTAGGCTAGGCGACCGTCGATGGGTCACACCTCGACCGAAATAATAATGACACTGTTTGCTTCCGTATCTTGGGCGTACAAGGCTGGGTCTCGCTTAATGACGCGAAGTGAAAGTAGCAAAACACGCTGTTGAATATGCGCTTAGTTCAAACACGATCCTGTTTACTACGGTGGAAGAATCTGCGTCAAGACGCACTGTACGCACTGGTTGCACTACTTGATGCGAACCACTTTCACAATAAAGGTTTACATTCAATACCTTTAAGACAGTGAGTCGTTCGAGCGAATGCTGATGCATCTACCTACCGACAGCGAAATGAAATCACACGATAAAACACCGCGCACGGTGGTGACGAAAACGCGGAGTTAAATAACGGACGTGGGTTTTCATATCAAACCATAACCAGTGACTATGACGCTCTGTCTGTTTTCNGAGGTCGTTATGATGCGATGCCTGTTGCATCTACCTACGGACAGCGAAATGAGATTTCAACGTTTAAATACACGCGCAACGGTGGGGACGAAAACGGCGGAGTTAGAATAACGGTACGTGGGTTTATATCAACCATATGCCCGTGACGTATGATGGCATCATCTGTATTTTTACTGCGACGGTGCCGTTATTCTACACATTCCACATACACCTGCCTGGGGGATATTATAATGATAGAACTATAGTGACTAAAGCTAATGGCACCCTTCCCCAATCGAGTAGAAATCTATATACGCTGAAAGTGCAAGTGAAGTGGCAGCTAGGGGAGAGATGCAAGGGCAAAGAGAGGTGGCAAAATGCACGATGCAAGTGCCATGGCAAGGGCAAGATGCAAGTGCTATGGCAAGGGCAAGATGCAAGTGCTATGGCAAGGGCAAGATGCATATGCAATGTAAATATCCTGATGAACACTTATTTAATCGTGTCTTGATTTACGTACGTCATCTGAATAAATATCACATAACGTGTAATGTACGATTTTCATATTTGGTTCCTAGGATGTTATGGGGTTAACAAGGATTTAGGATTTTGCCAATAGCATCGGAAATGATTATTAGAATGAATTGCTACAACAAAATTACGGCACACTTCATTAGGCGTCTCTACGAATAAAGTTTTGATTAGACATTCGTCGTGTAATAAGACCTTTAATTTATACGGGTACGATATAGGACTGGTGTAAACCGCCTGAATTCCCAATGTGTTACATGACCACTGAGATTCCTATTTAGTGACAATATTCTACTTGTTATTGATGCACCCCTTTCCCCGTCGCATGCTGGGAATCTCCAACGACCACAGTGACATCTGTTTATAAAGATGTGATTCATGCTTAACTTCCTTGGTATTGCCCTATCTGCTAGGCATCAAAGATCGATGTGCAAGTTGCTTTACTACAACATAAGGCGGTTTGCTTATGCATAGTGACAGGAGTCTATCAATATTGATAGACTCCTGATAGTGATGTAAGTACCTATGACACCAAATAGATGCGTCGCATTGTTGGCTTTGCTAGACAATAGCTACGAAAGACAGACATATTTGCCATGAAAGTGAGACGTATAGTTATGATTAGGTAAATGAGCCTTTGATACATGTTGACAATAAAAAGTGGATGAGTGCGTGGTTTGGCTCAAGGCGTGACAGTAAACTGATATAGAGGTGCATTCTGTTAATATTTTATTTCTGTGTTTTATCCGTGATGTGGAATTGTAGTGATGAGTCGTTTTACAAACAAATATTAAACACGCTGATTAAGTAAATCACAGTTTAATTCATATACATGATATTATACATAAAATTATTTACATATCGGTGTATTTCATCATATACAGTTTGGCCTTAATAAGTCGAGCAAGCCAACCGTCGACAAATTAAGCTTCTAGACTATCACGGTATGAATACCTACAACACGACATGATGTCTACTATAAATAATAACAATGATATCAAGTCTCGCACATAAGTATCGTTAACTGTGCTAGCGATATTATCGCAAGCTGAAATGAATCGCATGCGAAATATTTAGATTATAATAACAGTTTTAAATAGCGAACTATTGCCAGGTCTATCAGATGACATGTTCATTTGCTGGACACAAGCGGTGACATCGTACGTCTCATCGCTACCCAGCGAACCAAGCGACACGACGTCGCTGTCGGAATCGTAGGAACTACTCAGCTCGCTGTTGCTGGACCCGGTAGATTCGGTATCACTATCGCTTAAGCTG